GCCATTGGGGTGGGTCCTAATCCAATCTGTCCTTATAAGTGGAGATTAGGGGGGGGCACCTGGGTGGCTCAGTTGGTTAAGCGACTGCCAGCTCAGGTCATGATCCTGGAGTCCTGGGATCGAGTCCCGCATCGGGCTCCCTGCTTGGCGGGGAGTCTGCTTCTCCCTCTGACCCTCCTCCCTCTCATGCTCTCTGTCTCTCATTGTCTCTCTCGCAAATAAATAAATAAAATCTTAAAAAAAAAATAATAAGTGGAGGTTAGGGCACACAGAGAGACACCAGGGAAATAAGCAATGTGAGGACACACAGGAAGAAAATAGCCTTCTGCAAGCCAAGAAGAGAGGCCTCGGGAGAAACCATCCTGCGAACACCTTGAGCTCAGACTTCTAGCCACCAGAACGTTGAGTAAATAAATGTCTGTTTTGTAAGCCACCCAGTCTGTGGTATTTTGTTATGGCAGCCCGAGCAGATGAACACGGATAGGAACTATGGAATGTTCCTAAAAGGTGCAAAAGTAGACTTGAAGAAACCGTCCTAGGTTTTGAATGGGACATCTGAACATCAAGATATTCTTACTGATAAGTTAATTTATAAATATATTGTGACCCCAGTACAAGTACCAAAATCTCTTTTTTTCTGGAGGTAGACAAGGTGATAGCTAAAGTTGTTACGGAGGAGTAAGCATGCAGGCAGAACATTGAAAGGGAACTGTGAGGGGGGACTAGCCATATCAGCTATTAAAACATACTATAAAGCCTCTATAATTAACACAGTGGTGGTGGGGCACCGACTAGAATAGGATGGAATGGAATGTCTAAACATAGACCCTAACATATATGGAACCTTATGAAAAAGGTGGTATATCCAATCACTGAGGAAAAGATGGGCTTTTTAATAAACGGTGTTGGGGCAACTGGCCAACCATTTGGGAAAAGATAAAATTAGATCTGTTCCTCATAGTATAAATAAAACTGAGCTACAGATGGATCAGAGATCTAAGTAAAATAGGAAACTTTATATGCACTGGAAGAATGCATGGGTGAATTCCTCCTTATAATCTGGGTGTAGGAGAAGCCTTTCTGTGACTCAAGACCCATATGCAATAAAGGAAAATATTTTGATAAATTCAATTACCAAAAAAAAATAAGCTTTTTCAAATAAGTAAAGTCAAAGACAAATTGTGATAAGATATTTGTAACATATAAAATAGCACAGGCTAAGAGCTCTAATATATATTTATTTATATTTTTTAATGAAAAATGAAAAGACCAAAAAATGGGCAAAAGGCACAAGCAGACCATTTGCAAAGCCATATGTTAAAATACCCCCTGAAATACATGAAAAGATGATCGACTTTCACCATAAGAGAAATATACATTAAAATTGCACCAAAATACCATTTCTCACCCATCAGATTGACCAGTCTTGGGGCACCTGGATGGCTCAGTCGGTTAAGCGTCCAACTCGTGGTTTCGGTTCAGGTCAGGATCTCAGGGTCATTGGGTAAAGGCCCGCTTCGGGCTCCGCACTCAGCACGAGTCTGCTATAGGTTCTCTCTCTCTGCCCCTGCCCACCACTCTTTGTCTCTGTCTAAAATAAATAAAATCTTTAAAGAAAATGAAAAAAAATTCCTTTAAAAAAAAATCTTGACAAAATAGTCTGTCCTAGGGGCTGTGGGGGAAAAGTCACTCTCGCACATGGATGGTAGCAATGCGAAATGGCACAACCCCCATGAAGGGGTGCTTGACAACAACAAAGTTGTATCTTCATTTTCATCCAGTATGGCCACTTCTAGGGATTTACCCAGAAGGTACTCCTTTAACAATACGGCAGTATATGTGTGCATAGGGCTATTCATTACAGTGTTACGTGTAGTGGTAAAATATTGTAAACTGCGCAGACATGGGAGATTGGCTGAAGAAACTATGGTGCTGTATTACCTGCAAAAACAAATGAGGAAGATCTCTCTAAATTAGTAAGTTAATTGTAGGATATAGGTGAATAAAGCAAAGTGCAAAACAATATATAGAGTAGGCTGTTTTCCTGTTTAGTAGTAAAGACAAAAGAAAGCACATATTTGTCAGCTTAACTTTTTCAAGAAGAAATACAGGAAGGATAAACCAGGGGATAAAAAGAAATTGATTATCCTTTAAGGAGGTTAGATGGGGGGGCTGAGTAAACAAATCGTAATATACATATAATAAGATGCCACACACAACATTGGATGACCCCTGCAGACATAGTGTTGAACCAAAGAACCCAGACTCAAGAGTATATATTATTCCATTTATATGAACACGTGTGCATTTTACTATAGATCTGTGATACCTCAATACATTTTTTTAAAGTTTATTAAAAGATACTTGTACTGGGGCACCAGGCTGGCTCAGCCTGTAGAGCATGGGACTCTTGATCTCAGGGTCATGAGTTCAAGCCCCACGTTGGGCGTGGAGCCCACTTAAAAAAATAATAAAGATACTTGTACCTGTGTTGGCAGTGGCAAAATTGATCTTACTAATCAGAGGTGAGGAAAAAGTTATTTTTCTCCTCCAGCTTATCTGTAGGGTGGTGCTTTGCTGTAGTTGGTGGCTCATTCCCAGGTCATCTGCAAAAGCTGATGATGTCATCTGCGCCGTGGACTAAGGACGGCACTGCGCCCGGAGCCGGACCACCACAGCACACAACAGAGTTGCTGCAGGAACACACATGCCAAACACGAACTCGAGGTATACATTGCCTCCTCCTCCTGCCACTGTCATCTGTGAGCGATGAGAAGCAAACTCCCAGTTCTCAAATTATAGGCAATAGGAGTCGCTGAAACAGGGGCTCCAGTAAGTAGAGTGTGCATGTGTATTTGGGGGGTGTCCTTTGAAGGGTCAAGATGGAGGATGGATTCCAGGTGTCATCTGGTGCTGCATTTTGGGGGCAGGGTTTAGAGGCCCTAATCAGAATTGAGACTATCGCTAGATGACCATGAGAGGCAAGCTGGGAAGTAGGGAGTCCAGCGGCAGCCGCTCAAAGAAAAAGACTTTTTATTTTTATTTTTTTATTTTATTTTAAAGATTTTACTTATTTATTTGCGAGAGAGAGAATGAGAGACAGAGAGCACGAGAGGGAGGAGGGTCAGAGGGAGAAGCAGACTCCCCGCCGAGCAGGGAGCCCGATGCGGGACTCGATCCCGGGACTCCAGGATCATGACCTGAGCCGAACGCAGTCGCTTAACCGACTGAGCCACCCAGGCGCCCCAAAAAGACTGTTTTTAATTGCATGGGTAATTCACAGGCATTGTGCTATTTCAGAGCCTTTGTTTATTTTGGAATATAGATTTCTGTTGACATTGGGGGAGCCTTTATGACAATTAGGAATTTTTCTTCATCAAAATAGTTTATATTTCAGGTGACTATTGAAAGGTAGGAGGAGGATTTAAGCTTTTGATGACTTAATTTGGCTAGATTCCATCACTGTGCAGTAAAGGAAATACATGTATTATACTAAAAAGATTCGTTTTTTAAAGGATCAGTTAGTGGGGAATTTATTTCTACAGATCTGCAATTTAAGATATAACTTGTGAGACCATTTAAGACCTTCAAGAACCTATTTTTACTTAAAAGAAAAACAATCTCCAGCTCATGAGTAAGTGATAATCTAAGTGTTCAGGGCACATTTTCCTGCAGAAATGGTGTAAGTTACAGATAGATCCCTGGAAAGCCCTCAAAAATCGACTTAATCCCTAATGCCACTAAATATTGTTTCTTGGGGAGAATATATTCTGAGTTCCAGCTCCCAACAACAGTAGCAGATTTTAAATCTCCTCCCCTCTCCTCCATGCAGATTTCCAAATGGGTGGTTTTTCTAGCCAAGACCATGAGAGTAGTAGGGGTTCTGAGGGCCTTTGTTCCTGGGGAGGAGCTATCTGGAGACTGTGGTGGGAAGTTGAGGATCTAACCCAGTTAGGGCTTGTTACCCAGGCCTTCACTTCGATTAGCATCTTATTTAGAGTTATTTATAGTGTCTTTGCCTCTAGAGGTTTCTGGAGGTTGCAGACCCTGCTAATTATTAACTCCTTAGGTTCCTACCATACAGAGCTTTTAGGAATGACTTGAGCTGTTTTCTTTCCTTCTCTAATGGTATGTATGTTTTTGGCCTTTATACTTTGAGTATCCAATTAGCAAAATGTGGATTGTATAACCCGTTTTCTCCTTTGCCTGTCAGGTAGTGCTGAGGATTACTGAGAAGTGGGTTATATGCATTAATATCCTCAGGGAAAAGGTTTTTTGTGAAGTGTGACTACTTGGACACAACATAAAGTCTGTCCCACAAAACATCATATTTTATCTAATTAACTACCTTCATTGGCATTTGGATTTTATGCTGCTCACTGTATTTATCCTCTCAATCTTATTTTCTGTGCCTCCTTTTGTTTTAAAGTGAGTTAATGTGTCAATTTAAAACATTTGTGGTGAATAATCCATACCATTCAGTAAGTATTAACTCTTTCAACGTAATATCTTATCAGCCAGAGCTGTGAGCGTGGAACCGTCGGTGGTATATGTTCTTAATTGTGCTTCGGTTTTTAGTGAATGAAAACATTAAGAATGGGGCAACCTTAACCTTTTTTTTTTATTGTTATGTTAGTCACCATACATTACATCATTAGTTTTTGATGTAGTGCTCCATGATTCATTGTTTGCGTATAACACCCAGTGCTCCATGCAGAACGTGCTCTCTTTAATACATATCACCAGGCTAACCAGCCTTAACATTTTTAACATAGAAGGTGTTTTGCCTACTTTCCTTGGGCAGTTTGTGCTGCAGGTCTCGGGCCTACGTCGCAGCCGTTCTAAAGAGACCATTTGTTACCACATTTATTCCTGAGTGAAAGGTGCTTTGCACTTGAATGATGATTTTGAGTTGGCAGCAGGGCAGGGTTCATTGTGACGTTATTACAGATAGTCATCATTTCCATATTTATCTCTCGCTTTTCTTTCCCTTTTTCCAGTTCTTCCTCCAGTGCTGGTTCCAAGACACAGCGAATATAATCCTCAGCACAGCCTGTTAGCTCAGTTCCGTAACTTAGGACAAAATGAGCCTCACATGCCCCTCAACGCCACCTTCCCGGATTCTTTCCAGCAACCCAACAGCCATCCGTTCCCTCACTCCCCCAGTAGCAGCTACCCCAACTCTCCTGGAAGCAGCAGTGGTACCTACCCGCACTCTCCCACCAGCTCAGACCCAGGAAGCCCTTTCCAGATGCCAGGTGGGTTGGAACATTCCACGACGTTCGGGTCAGGTAGACGGTGCTGCTGCAAGGGTTGGGGGGGGCCGGGTGCACCTGCACGCAGAGCGCTCTTCAGCTCTGCTACACGGCGCTCTGCTCTCAGATGCAGGATGCCGCTGTGGTCAAGCAAATGTCCTGTTTTATCTGTCAGGCACAGAAGCTTGAATAAGTTTTGATTTGGAAGGGTTTTGAAACAGTTGCATCCTTCCAGGAGTGGCATAATTGTTGCAGTCTTTGCTCTTGATAAAAGCGAGAAAGAGAAAAATAATGTGTTGCACACATTGCTGTACCTGGGGGGAAAAAACCCCTGTTGTAAGTGCAACCTCAGAAAAGATATTTCCTGAGGGTTCACACCCCCCTACTTAATTAAATTCATTTAAGTGGTGATGTAATCCCAAGAAACATACTTTAGCAACAAAGGAAATGCAGCAGAAGTACTGGAGACCATCTGCTTGTTTAACTTAGCAAAGACAAAAACAATTATCCTCCTTTTTTAGATTTAACTGATGGTGTAATGTTTATAAAAATAAATGATTAATTAGGACATTATATTTTTCAAATTATACGTTAGTAAGCAAGCATCTCACAAAAAATGATTAGTACCAAATTTCTTGCCAGTAGACTTCAAGAAGGATGCTCTACACAAAGATGTACTTAACATTGATTAATACTTCAAGAAGGGAAAAATGGGCGGGCAGGCCTGTTTGTTAAGCCACTTGAAATGTTTTTAAGTAAATGTGAATTTGACAACAGTGCTGGTAGGTCCTCAAAAATTGAAAAGTGGTCCACACTTGATACTGTTGTCTTTTATTTCCATATTTATGACTTCTTTTGGTTTTGAGCCTTTTATTTTGCATTGTTTTGTTTCTCAGTCCAGAACTGTTGAGGATGAGGCAGGGCAGCAGGGATATAGATGAGTTTAAAAGTCAAACTAAGTATCATCTGGTGATCTCCTATTCACCCCACTCTCTCCCAGACCCGTTGGGTTTGATGAACAGGTAAGTGGTGAAGAGAGAGTTTCAGAAGCTTTTGAGCAGTGGCAAAGCCAGGGTGGGCCCAAGAGTGAAAAACTGGAAGATTATTGCCCGAGTTTACACTTTGTCCCGGCTGTGAGGGATTAAGGCTACAGGCCACTTAAAGGAAACGTGGAAAAGAGAAAGCGGCCAGGGGTGGGAGGAGGCACTTGCGGGAATAGCAGAGTATTACCCATCGCCCTCTGGTGGTCTCTCCCAGTGGTGCTGATGCCATTGGTTGCTGATGAAATTTTCACCAGGTCATTTGCAGAAATTTACTGGATTTGGTCTCAGAGGCGTGATGCTCGTTGTCTTCATTCCTGGCTGGAAGTAAAGCAGAGTCAGTGTTAACAGCTGCAGGGGAAGGTGCTGAATTAAAAGAAGCCGGAGAAAGGGTGCAGAGGCATCCAGATAAGGTCCCCATAGTCCAGTCTTTGTGCTGTGAGTCCTTGCTTGCTGGCAGCTGGACGGTGGGAGTTCCTGGGTTGTGAGTCAGCTGGAGACTCAGTCTTGGAAATCTCTGAAAAGCTGTTAAAGGAGCAGCAGTATTGACCATTTGTATTCCACAGTTGCCCTGAGTGATCTCGGCTACTCCTCCGGGTTGTTCATGGTTCCCTAAGGTAAAGCTTTGTTCCCTGCCCTGTCAGGTGTGCGAGATGGGCTCCCGAAAGCCAGTGAGGGACTTGCTTTTTGATCACAAAGGACTATTTGTGGGCAACCCATAACCCCTTATTTTATTTAAGAAAACACAAGACCCATATTAGTGTTCTTTGTTTCAAAAGTCATGCTCTTTGCCTCTTATGGCCAGCTGGCTCTGAGCTTTCTAGAAGAACATGCGTAAATTCTGAAATAGAAAATAGCTGTGATAAACTGATTATTATTCTGCTACTAGGGGTTTTAAAACTAGTGATTATTAAAGTAGGCAGGGAGAAGGTAGTCCTAACAGAGTGCTTGAAGTCAGGAGAAATTAACAGTCGAAGTCAGCAAATTGGCTGTAATGAAAGTCAGTTGGTAAATTCCTAAGAGCCTATGAGTTTAATGGAAGAGACCCTGAAGCTCTTTTTCTTAAGAAATCCTATGTAGCTTTGCCATCCACCAGTGAAACTGAAACGCAGAGGTCCTCTCAAAGTGGATTGTATGGAAGTGTGTTTAAATGCTCTTCTGATTATTCAAAGAGAGCACGAGCCCGGATAGGCTCCTGGAACTGGCAGAGAGTGCTTTTCCTCCCACTGGACTTTGACTACAGTTGTACCAGATCATGAGGTGTTAGTTAGGCACTTGTAGAAAGTGTATACCCAGTTCAGTGTCTGTAGGAGCCATTTTCTGATGGGGGAGTTGAAATGGGCAATTCAGTCTCAGTTTCACACAATATATGTTTTAAGTGTGTGTGTTTATTTAAGGAGAAAGACATCATTTTCTTTAAACTTTGTAGCTGATACGCCCCCGCCTGCTTACCTGCCTCCCGAAGACCCCATGACCCAGGATGGCTCTCAGCCAATGGACACAAATATGATGGCACCCTCCCTGCCCTCAGAAATCAACAGAGGAGGTAAAATGCATTGCTGTGTATTCCCTTTTTAGTGTCTGAAGTTTATCTGTCCAAACGTTACTTTCTCTCACAAATGTTTATTAGTCTGTAAAAAGATAGCTGTTGGAGAAAGAGCTCAATAAGAGAAGCTAGATAGAACTTTTTGGATTACAAATAGATCTTTCCTATGAAGAACAAACACACTGACTTAACTAATGAAGGCCTAGGTACAATTGTGCAGTCTTCTGTTGAGAGCACAATACTTGATGATTTTGAATTGGTGATAAAAGAATATTTTTAAGTGAAGGACAGAGGGGTAGTAGTAAGAAACAATGAGCATAACATTACTAAAGTGGAGTTGTCATTGGTGATTTCCAAAATTAGAAGTTCATATAACAAGGCTTTCCAAAGATTCTTTTGTTGATATTCATCAATACCATTATTTTCCAGCCCTCATCCATATACAGCTGCAGCTGAAACAAACTAATAGAACATTTGTTTCTTTCTTGCTATATTTATTTGTTTCTAACCTCGTTACAAAAAGGGACGGAGGCACATGTTTTTCCTCTTCTCACCTGGAAGAGCATAAGCAGCACCTCTAAGCAGGATGGAGCATTTCTTTCCCTTTCTGGTAGAGAGTGGGTGTGTTTCCAGCCCTGTCATACCACCATGCCGCCGGCAGTGACTGAGGGGAGAACGCCATCGTTCTGCACTGGCAAGTGGTGTGGGCCCAGCCGAGCAGAGAACTCGGGTCAGTGATTGTTGGGAGAGTCCCTGAGCACCTTAGGAGGTCATGACCATGTTGTTGAAGAAAACTGCTCCCAAACAGCCTCTCGTGGAAGAAGGTGCCACCCTGGTGCCCCGTGGCATGGACCATTTCTCAATACAAATTGAAGTTACAGTGCAATCTCATTACTAGGTGTATGTCTCATTTCATTCTTACTACTTTTTTATTAAAATGGGAGGTACCTCAGTCTTTATCAGAGTTGCTTACATTTTTTTAAGTTCTTAAAACCTGATGGTAAACTTAAAGAACCTTTCTTAGATGTGCAGTGTAGTAAATTGGAATGTACAACTTCTTAATCTGTAAAATATTTTTACATCTGTCCTACTGGCTCTGTATTTTATGGTTCCTCATAATCTCTTGAACAACCTCCCAAACATAATTATCAACCAAAAAAAAAATGTTGGTTGAGGAAAAAAAAAAACCTCTCCTGTCTCGCCCATCTTTGGAGTTTGTATTTCGGGAACAGGACAGCAGGAGAGGATGGGCACAGCACCGCTGTCCAGTGAGGAGCGGGTGGACCCTGTGGCGATCGTGGTTAAGCCTAAAATGTCTGCTGTCAGGAAATAGGCCTTTCAGTTGCTATAAAATTTTTCCTTTAAAGAGCTTTTTGAAATTTCCCCATTAGAATAGGTTTACAGTTAATATCTTCATGAGGAAGGAGTGTTGGCCTTTCTGTTACTGTTTTACCTTTGCTGGTTTTCCTAAGGCAGGAGTCAGCACACTACAGCCCGCAGACCAATTCAGCCTGCTGCCTGTTTTTGTAAATAAATTTTTACGGGAGCACAGCTACGTCCATTACATATGATCTGTGGCAGCTTTAGCACTGCTAGGGCACAATTGAATAGTTGGAGTGGAGACCAGATGGCCCACAAAATCTTTCTGGTCTCTTACAGGAAAAAATGTGTCATCCTCCCACCTAAACGAATAGTATCTTGAACAATCCCAATAGCTTATAAAAGCCTTCTCTAATGATGTCGCAGCCTTCTTTTAAGATTTAGCGCTAGGTAAATCACTAAAATTTTGCACTTTGAAATACAGCAAGCTGACCTGGGATCGTTGCTCAGCAGAGAAGATAGCGTACGCCTGTATTGGGCTCACATGCTTAAGTGTATAGAGCGGCTAACATATGCGTGGATTTTTTTTAATGATCGTTTTCTTTGTTTTCTTTACCGAATGCTAAAATTAAGTGCATCGGGATATCCGTGGAGGTTGATGTTAAGAACACAGAAGTACTTCTTCCTAAGCAGTTACAGCTTATGCTTCTAATGCGGATATTCTTTCTCTTTTTACGACTGTACGCTCAGGACCTCGTAAACCTCAGATCATTACGTATTGGCATACTGGGCATACGTGGTTTGTATTCCTGGAATCTCTAAAGCAGTGGTATAAGAGGTTTTACTACAGAAGGAACTTATCTTTAGAACCTTTTCGTTGCAAATGTTTAGAAGCATGTTCTGTTTGGAGATTTGTTAGTCTTAAGAGATTTGACTTAACAAGCTGCATCCTGTCAGTAAAGTTGGGTAATTTCCATTGTTGGCCCATTCTGGGAATGGAGAGACAAAACACACCTGCTCTGCATGACTTAAAGCAAATATAAGGAAGTTAGCATGAAATCTGGATGAGCGAGATATGATTCATTCTGTAAAAGTGGCCAGCTGGCAAGATTTCTTCCTGCGTTTGAGGACTGGAGCCGAGCTGCGGCTGTGATCGTTATTGGCAGCTGAATGTGAAGTAAGGGAACTGCTTATCAATCATTAGAAACTGATTTTCATTGCTTTGAAAAAAGCCTAGGCCTGTGAAGGCTTTGTTGAAAGTCACCCTTTTTCTGCCAGCACCTTTGGCACATTTCCTGTCCTCTATTGTGCTCTTCCCATTGGTTTTTCACTTGCCACTTGTATTTCTTTAGATGGGGAGCCAGCGTCTGTGGTGGGGAGCGAGTAGCATATTGCGAGTGTTCAGCAAGTGCTCTTGGTATGCTTGCTTAGCTGGCGTTTTGGTGATCTGATAGTAATTGGGGAAAATTATTTTCCAATTAAAGGGGAATGTCACACTTAGTAAGGAGGACCTGTTTTGGATGTCATAGAGAAACCGTATACGTTATAATGGCCCTTGCTTTTCCATATCTTCATTCCACGATCCTGAGCCAATTTTACAACACAGTTTCAGTTTTTGAGAGCCCGAGGCACTAACCGAGGTTGACTATAAGCTTTTCTTTCTTACAGATGTTCAGGCGGTTGCTTATGAGGAACCAAAACACTGGTGCTCTATTGTCTACTATGAGCTCAATAATCGTGTGGGTGAAGCGTTCCACGCCTCCTCCACAAGTGTGTTGGTGGATGGTTTCACCGATCCTTCCAACAATAAGAACCGTTTCTGCCTTGGGCTGCTCTCCAACGTTAACCGGAATTCCACTATTGAAAACACCAGGCGGCACATTGGAAAAGGTGAGTTTGCGCTCGAACCTCTTTCAAATGTTTGTCTCTTGTGTCCCTGTTCCCCTAGAACCCACTTAGTTGTTCCTAGAGCAGATTCGTATAGCAAACACCAGGTAGGAAACACTGGCTCCAGTCGGTAAATATTCTTTCAGTTTCTATCAGCAGGACGTTGCTCACTTCCCAATCAGCAGTTTTCGTGGTCTGCCGCCTCATCGGAGTTGGTATTAATTAGCTGAAATAGTGATCTGGGGAGCACTGCTCTAGCTTACGTTTTGCTGCAGGATAAAAGCAGCTGTTAGAAAGTGACTTACAACCTAAAACTAAACGCAAGTTGAAACAAGTAAACCGAATGTGTTTGAAACGAGTACCGTAACTCACGGGGAAAAAGAAAGAACCAGTCCAGAATAACTTATGAATACAGTGTTCGGCTATGAATCTCCAGGCCAGGCCAGGTAGCGTAGAGTGCTTGCAGACAAATCCTGAACCCTTTTTAGTGGGCTTGATTATCTGGTAGCAATATGAATAAAATAGGGAACTTTGAGATAGAAGATGAAGCAAATGACTGAGTGTGTGGATGTTGCTGAGAGCCTCGCTGTTCACTGTGGAATAAGAAACATGCAGGTGTGGAGGAGGGCAAAAGATAAACCCTGTGGAGGTATCAGGGTGAAATGATGATTTAATAATATGTATATGCATGTTTATGTTCTCGTGGATGTGTGTGTGTGCGTGCATGTGCGTATGCAGGTGTGCTCAAACATGCATGTGGTTTGTGATCTGTCTGCTGAAAGGGCCAACAAGCAAAGACACCCAGGAGCAGTAAGCACATCTGGTGCTCGGCCCATCCTCTCTAACACCATTTCCCACTGAGAGAGTCACATCAGACAGTGAAGACACGCTTATGAAAATGATGAGGGAATGTCACAGGAGCCAACTTGGAGGGGCTTCCCAGGCCAATTCTGGGACGGTTTGAGCACCAAGATAATTAAGTGCAGCTATGGATTTTAAACCACTGAAAAACAATAGTAATTTTGTAAGTCCATGCCAATAATAAATGGATAAAGGAATGAATGAGGAAGGCTGGTTGGGAAATGTAGAGTGAGTGCTAGAGTTGGAAAGTCATCATTTTGCAGCCATCAGTCGGGAATCCTCAGTGGATGCTAAACAATTTTTTGCGAGAATCAGGATATTTGCATGGTCTTGCAGTGTCTCCTCACAGACTGCCTCTTAGTTACAAGGGAGAATAAAAATCAGTAATCATACAGTGGAGACATTGGACAGCATCTTGACTGGGAGATCAAAATTATCATCACCAGTGAGAGACAGATGGATGTCATATACCACCGGATATGATGCCCTGAGAAGGAAGTAACATCACCTATGCAGACTTCCAGTCGAGAATGCCAGTCTGAATCTCATCAGTGGGGAAACTTCAGACAAACTCAAAATTCTATTAAAAAGGGTGAGGAGGAACTGTATTCTTCCAAAATATCAACGTCAGAAGACAAAGGTGTGCAAATGTTCCACATTAAAAGAGATTAAAGAGCTATGACAGCTGTGTAATAAGCTGACCCATTGACCCACATTACAATAAGCTGTGTAATGATCTGTCCCAGAAAGGGGAAAAAATACCACAGAGGGCCTTACTGGGGTCAGCAGGTAGAGTTAGAGCACGAGTTATAGATTAGGTAAGACTATTACATCAATGGTACATGCGCTGGCTTTGCTGACTGTCCTGTGGCTATGTAAGAGAACATCCCTAGTCTTAGGAAATGCACACGCTTATGTATATACACACAAATATGTAGATAAGTAGAGAGATCTGTCCATCTAAAAAAAATCCTGGGTCAGAATATATATAGATCTATGCATATACATGTATATATGTGTGGATGTGTATATATGAATATATATGAGGGTGTGTGTAAAAGCATAGAGGGGAAGGAGGTGCAAATGATCAAACTTGTCACAGTAGATGAATCAGGATAGTGGTTATATGAGTGTTCTTTGTTTCGTTTTTCTTGGCTGTTCTATTTCTGTAAGTTTGAAATTATTTCTATGGTAAACATTTTTTTTAAATGACCTATAAAATTTAGAATAGTGGACTAGATTAAGTGGTTATTTAATAAATGCTTAAAAGGCATTTGAGATACAACACTTGATCCTTAAAAAAAAAAAAAGCCTAAAACAGGAATTAATAGATAGTTCCTTTATATGATTAAGGGAGAAAAAATAAACCCTAACCTCCACATTTGATGATGAAATGCTAGAACCTAGGTTCGTAACATAGAGATCTATGATCTGTAAACCCTGTAAATTGTACATAAACACAATTTTGCATACATTTGGGATGGAGGGATATATTTTTCCCTAAGTTCTGAAGTTGACCATTACCCCAAAGTACTAGCCATTGCACTCTGAGGGGGGCGCCTGGGTGGCTCAGTTGGTTAAGCGACTGCCTTCGGCTCAGGTCACGATCCTGGAGTCCCGGGATCGAGTCCCGCATCGGGCTCCCTGCTCAGTAGGGAGTCTGCCTCTCTCTCTGACCCTCCCCCCCTCATGCTCTCTGTCTCTCATTCTCTCTGTCTCAAATAAATAAATAAAATCTTTAAAAAAATAAAAAATAAAAAATAAAATAAATAAATAAAAAGCCATTGCACTCTGGAACATTTCTATAAAAATTAGGAAGAGGGGCGCGTGGGTGGCTCAGTTGGTTAAGCATCTGACTCTTGATCTCAGCTCAGGTCTTGATCTCAGGGTGAGTTCAAGCCCCACATTGGGCTCCATGCCAAGCGTGGAGCCTACTTTAAAAAAACAAAAAATAGGAAGAAAATAAGGATTCTGGGAATGCGGTTATTTAAAATTGTTCCAGATGCCTTGACTAATGTATTCAAATGTAGAGTTACCGATAATGGAAGTAAGCCAAAATTATCAATATTGCAGATGATGTGATTAACTAATTGATAATATTCTTGGGATAGATTCTTGGAGTGAAATTAGTAGGTCTAAAGCTCTTGATATATTATGCCAGATTACTTTCCAGAAAGCTTTTATTACTTTCCACTTGCACCATAAGTCTGTGTATGAGTGCCTTTCCTCCTTCACCCATGTTAGTATTACTGACATAAATAATACTGACCTGCTAATATTTATGGTCCTTGTGTTTATTCAAAAGTTATGGTGGTTTATCTAGAAACTTCTAAAGAATTTATTTTTAGAAACTATATGCCAGTTTTATTTAATCTGGCAATAACCAGTTAGAAAATATAGTGGAGGGGGAAATCACATTTCCAATAGCAACAGAAAATGTAATTTTTTGGAAATAATCTGAATCAGCAATACATGAGAATTATATAAAGAAAACCAAATTTTACTGAGAGAAAGAAAATTTAGGTATATAAATAAGCAGTGTTCCTTAAAGAGAAAGCTTAATATCATGAGAATATTTTAAGGATGTGTGTTCTTCCTAATTTCAGTTTATGGTTTAAAACAACCCATGCCAGAATCACAATGTGTTATTTTTTTGAAAGTGGGAAAATGTGTTCTGATATTACCTGGCAGGATAAACAAGTGAAAATAGCTAAATTTTTTAATGGAAGAATAAAGAAAAAAATCTTGATGTTAGGTTAAATATTATGAAAACTACAATTAAATCAGGTTTAGACAAAATGGTAGAAGAAATTAAACTCAGACTATATTGTATTTCAAAATTAATGTATGTTAAGTGAAGCATAACAAATCCGTAGTCTTCTAGTGGTCCTGCAGTAACAAAGTTAGCTTTTAGGTGAGGCTATAGGGAGAAACCCTGACCTCATTTCATATATGCAAATAGATTAATGAATTGAGTTTTGTTGTTTTTTGTTTTTAATGGTAAGCTATTAAGCTAGAAGAAAATACATTTGATCAAAGAGGTAGAAATTTTCTAAGCATAAAAAGCAGTAGAAAAGATCACAAGAGATTTGACTATTCAAAGCTTTCAAACTTCTGTAGATTAAAAATACAAAGGACTAATGGGGAAACAAATAGGAAATAAATTATTTATAGCTTACACATAGCTCATAAAAAAACAATAAAAATACTAGAACCCCAGTGGGATAAATAGGTAAGAAATATGAACAGTAAGTTCATAAGAGAAACAGATGGCTAATAAACATATGAGAGCATATCCAGTCTCACATGCAAATTAAAACAATATTGTTTTTCAGCTGTAATTTATTTTAATTTATTTGTTTTTGTCTTAAACTTACTCAGTCCTGGCCCAGGCAAAACGAGAAAAGCACTCATACACTGCTGGTAGGGTGTAAGTTGATACAAGCATTCTGGAAAGTCGTTTGGCAAAGTGAGTCAAGAGCCTTCGATCCAGTGATTTAACTTCCAGGAACCTCTCCCAAGGATATTATCAAAAATAATCCAGAGACATTTATACTGGCATTGTTATAACAGAAAATTAGTATCAACGCTATGGTCCAGTATTGGAAGAATTGCTAAAGTAAATTGTTGTATCCATATATCGTGTAGATACTTTAAATGTTTGCAGAGAAAGTTTAGTGATACTCAAAACCTGTAATCCAGTGTGTCCAACTATTAACAGTTCTTGCCTCTGTGTCACTGAACAAGTGATGATATTTTCTGCTTCTTTATATTTTGTTTTACTTTTTATTTATTTTTTTTAAAGATTTTATTTATTTGAGAGAGAATGAAAGAGAGCACGAGAGGGGGGAGGGTCAGAGGGAGAAGCAGACCCCCCGCCAAGCAGGGAGCCCGATGTGGGACTCGATCCCGGGACTCCAGGATCATGACCTGAGCCGAAGACAGTCGCTTAACCGACTGAGCCACCCAGGCGCCCCTTTGTTTTACTTTTTAAATGTTCACAATGAAAATTCCTCATTTTTATAATCAGGAAAAAACTCAACACACACACACACTCTGTCTCTTAAATTGTTTTCTCGACATCAGGCAGGAAGGTGGGCTTCTGTTCCAGCAGCTATTTAATTGTTACAGAAGTCTTAGCCATTGTGTGTACATGTAAACACAACACATAATTTTTTGGATTGGATTGGAGACCATAGTTGTAGCATTGGCTGAGGCATATGCCAGAGTTACCTGCACAGTAGACTGTTTAAAGCCACATGGGATGTGACTCTGTTCGCTGCATGGCCTATAATAATCTCCCTTAATGGTGCAGGGCTTTGTCAGAGAGCCCCCCTCCTCCTACTTTCCTTTCTTTAAAGACTGGGTAGGATCAATTTCCTACACTCCTGGCACTCTAAGATGTCACAGGAAGAAGTTTGGAGCAGATGGTTGTTCGGGGAGGTCAGATTGCACACAGTATGAATTATTTTTATAATTATTTTCCCCTGGACCTTACATCTTCTAGCTCTCAGCACCACTTCCTCCACCTCTGGTTTTCTAGTTCTTTTACTTGTCTTGACCCTCCTTTCTTTGTTATTTCCTAGACGCCTCTTAGACATACGTGTTAACGAAAGAACATGGTATGACCTAATAGGGTTAACTAAGATTTTATCAGTTGTGCAAGATTTGGAGAGTATCTGTCTAGTTAGCCAAAGTTTAAATCCATGCAAATTCGTATCTTGAAGATACACAGATGCTTTTTGGCTGAGAAAAATGATAATGAAGACATTGCATGTGTTGTCTTCCTACAGGAGTGCATCTTTACTATGTTGGAGGGGAAGTGTATGCCGAATGCCTCAGCGACAGCAGCATCTTTGTGCAAAGTCGGAACTGCAACTACCATCATGGATTTCACCCCACTACTGTTTGCAAGATCCCTAGTGGGTGTAGTTTGAAAATTTTTAATAACCAAGAATTCGCTCAGTTATTGGCACAGTCTGTGAACCATGGCTTCGAGACAGTCTATGAGCTCACTAAAATGTGCACCATCCGCATGAGCTTTGTAAAGGTAAGTGAGCTCCGATTCGACACACTTGCTGCACTTCCCCTCAGTGTACAAATCTGTATCTTCTTGATATGTGTCCGTAGAAGCCAACTTATTACCGAGGCATTTTTGAACTTTAGTAAGGATGTCCGTTATTATGAGGATATAATTAGAATTATAGGAGTGTGTATTAAATGTCAACAGTGTAGGAGGCTTGAATAACTTTTTCCTATTTGAATAAGCACTGTTTTAACTATCGTAGAACCATAAGAAAATATTTTGTTATATATTTAACATGTATAATTTAAATGCATCATTTTCTTAAGAGATCAATTCAGTAAACCCACCCTCCCTACCTTTTCATTCTGTGTTTTTAGTACCTTTGTGATGGTAACATTTGTTGCTTTTGTTTCAACAATAAACAGGTGACCTTTTTGTAAATAAAAATTCATCACACTGGGGTTTATTTTTGATTGGTCAGGTTTTTTTTAATGTTTTCAGTAAAAATCATTTTCTTATAATTCAAAAATTAATAAGACTCTTGCCCACAGATTAGTAGATGCCTTACTTCTAAGATTATTGTTAGGGTTGGGGATGGAGAAGGTTAAAGACATTACTCACAATAACCTCTTTTCTGCCTTCTCTTTTGCCTCTGAGAAATAAAAAATTTTAAGATGTCATTGAAATGTAAAAAAATTAAATATCTGATTAGATTTCATGAGTTGTAACTTACGTTGTAACTTACTCTAGTGACTGACTTGTCTCTGAATTCTCAAAGATAAATTTTCATCCTCTGTTACCTCAAGAAACAGAACTAATTATATATTTGGGTGAGGCAGTCACCTTTTATGTCCTCTCTTCAGAAGCTCACCTAACTTGTTGTTAAACCTGTTTTGTAATGTGTGTGTTACAGAGGGTAATTTTGGAACCTTCCTTTGTTAAACATCCTTTAGATCAAAGATACCTTTCCCTGCGTATCATTTTTTTCTTACTTCTTTGAATCATATTAGCAGATTTTGACTCTGTTCTCTTAATGTTTTCTTAAAACATTATTCAACAGTTGTGTGTGGCTGGTCTGGTCCCTTTGTAGTCTTAAAGGTTTTTTTTTTTTTTTTTACCCTTTAAAGAGGTTGACCAATACTCTATATACCTGTGAGACTACAGAGATCTTACTCATCCACAACTGACAGTCACTGTTTAATTTTTGACTTTGCATTTTGGCTAAAATGAATTTTAAAATGAGGACAGTAACTTGCCAGCAGTTCTTTTTGTTTGTTGTTTTACTGGCATGGAGGAAAGAATACCTGTTAAGAGTCAAGAGACCCAGGTTCTAGTTTTAGCTGCCATTTTAACTGTGCGATTAAGGCACAGGGATCCTTTGCTAATCCTCATGATCATCATGTTTAAAATGGGTGGATGGAGATGGGAAGTGTGGTAGTCTACTATTACTGAAGGACCACTCAAGAAGAATTTACGACTCTACTTTAAATTTTAATTATTCACTTTTACACAAGTAAAAACAAACTTTACACTAATAAAAAGTGTGATATAAGGACATGCATTAAAAATGTATTAGATTTCATTCATTCAGCAAATATTTTTAGCACTCTTCCAGAGAATTAATGCAAAGATTGAAAAAGCACCTCATTCTCTAGGTTCACAATGCTAATACCCTAGTATGTATTTAATCATAAAATAATGTGATATATAGTGGAATGGGGGATAATATAAGATATAATGAACATAGCTGGGAAGCTGGATTTGGAGTTAAGGGTCAGCAAATTTTGTTTTAAAACTCCTGCCGACCTGATAAAGGGCAGCTGCTTATCATACGTTTGCAACAAAAAAAATTGTATAGTGTTTGTACAGTATTGTTCTTTTTTATCATAAGGATTGCATACCTTGCCCTTGTCACACTTAGCATCTTAGAGAAATGATACAGAACATTTTACTCATATTAATAGCCAATCTTGTGCTATTTTGAAGACAATCATTTTGGACTTTAAAGCACACATTTTATAAATTATTTGCACACTAAACTCCCCATATATCTGAAAAATCCAAGTCAGTTTAGCTGAACAAGTATCTCTAAGGCTTCTGCTTTGTGCCAATCACTGTGCTAGATGTTTGAGATCAGATAAGTAAGATCTGGTCCCTTCAAAGAACTCCCTATCAAATGGAGGAAACATGCACACAAACCTTTCAAGTTAGCAATGTACTGATAGATGCAGGAATGCATGGGTGCATATACATAGGCAGTTCATGTCTCACAGCTTTTAGCTGGAGGTTCTGATATTTGTATGTGTTTCTTGAAATTCCTGGAGTAGGTGGGTGTCAGAGAGAAGTAGTACCCAACCTTCTCTGACATCCCTCGTGAAACAAGGGTTTATCAGAGCTTATATTCCATTGCCCACCACACCAATGAGTTTTTTTGATCTTTGCAATTGCAAGATTGCCTTTCTCTCATGCAACTTTGGTGTCCCAGTTCAGTCATACTGAAGATGTCTGGCAAGCTACCTTCTTGTACAAGTGTATGGTGGAATCTATTGATTCAAAGCCATGATGAGGTGTCAGTAATAGCTTTTTGGATATGTATGTGCTTCTCTCAGTTTGCTTCGAGATTGAAAGATCAAGAGGTCTTGTGTTGATAGGAGGACCACCAGTGACTGAGTGGGGGAGAAGCAGAATGTCAGTTTGTCTAACATAGCTTTTTCCTTGTTTTCTTGGTGATAAAATGAGAATTTAATATCTGTTCCAACCCTGTCAGTAACATAGTGGGAAATGAAAATGAAAGTTAAAAAGTGCCTTCGTTAAAACAGCCTTATAATGTATATGAAAATTCATTCCCCAAGACCAGTACCTCTTAACCTGGAATGTATGGAGGGGCTTTAGGGACCCTTGAACACACCCATCCCCTGAAATTGCCTGCCAAATTGTGTGTGTGTGTGTGTGTGTGTGTACAAGCATCTGTCTTATGGAAAGCATCCGTGTCTTTAATCAGCATGTCTGGTTATGAGAACTCTTCTTACTTAAAAGTTTAACCACGGAGTTAAGCAAGTTAAATGACCTCCAGTGTGTCTTCTAGGGTTGGGGAGCAGAATACCACCGCCAGGATGTTACTAGCACCCCCTGCTGGATTGAGATCCACCTGCATGGCCCGCTCCAGTGGCTGGATAAAGTTCTTACTCAGATGGGTTCACCTCACAATCCTATTTCATCTGTGTCTTAAATGGCCTCAGGCTTCTGCCTCTTGAAAACTCTTGAGCCTTGCATGTACTTGAAGGATGGATGAGTCAGACACGATCGAGAACTGACCAAGGAGCCTTGATAATACTTGACCTCTGTGACCAACCGTTGGATTCAGAAATAAAAAAACCTTGGTAACATACTGTCGATATCAAGAACCTGTTCAGTTTACATTGTAACATTTTATGGTAAAATCAACTAAAATGCATACCTTTAGCAGGACTTCGTGTATAGTTAAAGGAGAGATGGCCAAGCCAGGGACAAATTATCTATTGGAGAAACGATCCTAAGAGATTCTTTTGTGTTTGGCACTTTAAGGTCATCGTTTGGCAAAAGTTTAGCATTAATAGTCTCTCTGAAGTGTGTTTTTATCAGGTTTAGAACCCATGTTGAGTCTTCTTTTCATGGGTTTTCATAATATTTTAAAACTATTTGTTTAGTAACGGTTTTTGTTTTTTAAGTAAAGTTTAATCTTGATGATATACATAGTAATCTTTCTAAAATTGTATGCTGACCATACTGCTGTCAGAATAATGTTAGGCATATGCTCTTTGCTAAATATATATGTACAGACTATTTGGAAGTTAAGAATTGATTAGACTAGTGGATTTAGGAGCATTTGAGGGGGGTGGGGGAGAGGGAAATGACAACTGCAAATGTAGAATATACTGTAAAGAGTCAGTTTGTTGCTTTCAAGAAACAAACTGATGTCTGAATTTTGCTGTGTTTCCATTTTTTAGAGATTTTATCCTACTTCTTCTTCTTTTTTTTTTTTTCTTTCTCGTGTCTTCTATCCCTTCCTCTCCAAAAGCAGTTATGCAGCTGGTTTAATTCATGTAACTGTGAGAGCAAATGAGTAATTCCTGCTACTCTGAAATCGACTGCCTGTATGTTTCAATACCAATTGTATGGAGTGCTTGAATGTAACTAAGCAGTTTTTATGGAGTTTACAGAAATAGGCTTTAATTTTCAAGTGAATTGTTTGCCAAACCTAGTAACTGTTAAATATTTGGAGGATTTAAAGAACATCCCTGTTTAAATCCATTTCACACTTTTTAAATTTTTTTGTACTATGTTTGGTTTTATTTTTCTTCTGCTAATCTTTTATATTCACTTAACGCTCTCGTACATTGAGTACTTTTATTCCGAAACTAGTGGGTTTTCTCTACTGGAAATTTTAAATAAACCTGTCATTATTGCTTACTTTGATTAAAACTTTGTTGTTTCCTTCCTGAATTCACACACTAGATTTTAGGAATAATAAGATTTACTACTCTTTTGAGAGATTTTTCTCAAATATTCCTTGCCAGACGTTAACAAACTAAATTACTAACACAGAGACAGGGAAACCGAATCGTGAAGAGAGCAGACTCCCTTTAAATTGGAAAAGAAAGGACATGTGGAACTTTGGAAATTAAGAAAAAACTAGCAAAATTTGGAATTTTAGACCTAAATGTATAAATTTATGTGAGGAATTGCAGCACAAGCAATTATTGATGGACAGCCCTCAGTCAACCAAAAGTTCCAATATCTAAACCTCACACAAGAAAGCAAGTGTAATATTGGGAAAGAATGAGAACTAAAACCGCCACAAGACGGGGCTCACCTGCCCATCTGCTTACCGCGGGAATGACGGGAATGCCGCAGCCACTCTCCCATCCCCCACCCTCGCCCCAACAGTCTGCCCTGGAAGGATGCAGGCTGGAGGAGACTTAGAGTCTTCCCCGGCCAAAATGATGCCACCCTTTCTCCTTTGTATTTTTATTTTATTTTTAAAGATTTTATTTATTTATTTGACAGCAAGAGAGGGAACACAAGCAGGGGGAGTGGGAGAGGGAGAAGCAGGCTTCCCGCTGAGCATGGAGCCCGATGTGGGGCTCGATCCCAGGACCCTGGGATCATGACCTGAGCCAAAAGCAGACGCTTAACTGACTGAGCCACCCAGGCGCCCCTCTCCTTTGTATTTTTATACATCTTTCCCACAGTTGTTTACCAGCCCTATTTGATTCCCCAAACAATGACCACACAGAAATTTCTACTGCATCCTGCTGTCTCCAAAAACATCGTGGTGCAAGTGGACAAAGCCTTGGAGAGAATACTTGTATTATAACACACGCTTATGCATGTCTGCTGGGTCACTTAACGTTTGTGAGCCTCTGTTTCCTTACCTGTAAAAAGGAGATAATGTTTCCTTATCACAAAGTGGAGGTGAAGCTCTCTTGGAAGAAAAAAGTGTGAAAATACCTTGGAAACGTAATTGCCATCCTTTTCTCTTGTTAGTTTGCAGACATAAAAATTTACTATAAAATAAGGCAGAATGAAAAGCACAGAGGAGCACAAAGGCAGGAAGATACAGTTCAGACTTGGGTGAGTAGAGATCAATAGAGGTTTTACGGAAAAAGTGGTATTTAAGGTGGAGCTTTGAAGGATGGAAAACATTTTGATCGTTGGAGAAGCTTCTGGGCAAGAGAACAGTGTAAGTAAAAGTATGTGTGACAGATACCTGCTGCTTAGGACACCCCAGCATCTGCCCACCAGTTTCTAAAGACATGCCTCCAACCCACAGGCTTTCTGTGGGATTTATCATACAATCCCTCTGGCCACTGTTCGATGGTCCAGGTAGGGACCTCTCTCTTTGGGACTTCTGGGGCTGGAAGTAAGGAAGGGTTATCCTGTGCCTGGCTGAAGCTACAGTAAACCTTGGGATTGGCCCTGTATGGGCTGGGCATCCAGGTTGTGGGGTGTAGGACTTGAACCAACTGCTCCCACATTCCTGCTCTTGGTTTTCCTGGGACACCAGAGTCTTTGTGGATAATCCCTCTTTTGCTTCATGTAGTTTGAGTTTTTGTCAGCCTGCAAGAGTGTGTGGTTTATGCGATACAGTATGAACATACTTTTGTAAAGATCATTTCTGGGGCACCTGGGTGGCTCAGTCATTTAAGCGTCTGCCTTCAGCTCAGGTCATGATCCCAGGGCCCTGGGATCGAGTCCCACATTGGGCTCCCTGCTCAGAGGGAAGCCTACTTCTGCCTCTGCCTGCCATTCCCCCTGCTTATGCTCACTCGCTCTCTCTCTAGGGCTGTCTCTCTCTCTCTCTCAAATAAATCTTTTTTTTAAAAAAAGGATCATTTTGGGGCACCTGGGTGGCTCAGATGGTTAAGCGTCTGCCTTCGGCTCAGGTCATGATCCCAGGATCCTGGGATCGAGCCCCGCATCGGGCTCCTTGCTCAGCGGGAAGCCTGCTTCTCCCTCTCCTTCAACTGCTCCCTCTGCTTGTGCTCTCTCGCTCTTTCTGTCAAATAAATAAAATCTTTAAAAAAAAAAAAAAGGATCATTTCTGTAGATAATTTTCTTTTAGCCAAAACAATACTTGTTCACTAAAGATTTTTAAAAGTCTAAGAAACAAAAAGAAGAAACCAAAAGTCACCTGTACTAACCGTTGGTAATTAAATTAGTTTGTCCTTGAACCAGGTGGTTATGATAAGCTGGCACAGAGATCCTCAGCACGCTATAGGAAGTTCAGGTCTAAAGGTTAGTCCCATTAGTACGGAGATGATGATCGGCCCCCTTTGTTGAGCCGTTAACTGGCACCAACCCTGTGCCGACCATTGTGCTGGGTGATAAACATGAATAAATCCTCAGCCCCGCCTAAGCAGCATGCACTCTGAAGAGAAAGGGAAGCCAGCAAACAGACAATAACACTGTGCTATGTCAGCAAAGGACACAGAAGGGAACATAAAGTGGACCAGAAGAGTCAGGGAAGACTTCTCAGAGGGGATGGTTGCCAAATGCCTTGTGAATATTGTACCAGATTTAGATCTCCTAACTCTGAGGTTTCACCCAACACAGAAGATGAGCTGCTGGCCTCAATGTTTATTGATTTCTTTGTTACAAATACATTTCTTATTTTTCTGGGATAATTGGGATTGTAGGCAGTTTACTGAAAAGCCTTTTTTTTTTTTTATTGAGTCTGTTGACTGTGTAATTTTATAATTTTTATAATTCTTAAGTGGTTTTTAAGGCAGTGGTCCCCAAGGATGGTGCTGTAGGGAATTGTCAGGCCTGCAGTTTCCAAGCACTGGAACTGAGAACCTCTTCACAGCAGATCTGGAAGCTCAGTGCTAGCAACTGAAAAGCCATCATACATTCTTGTCGAGATGCAATATGCTCTTTAAAAGGCAGGGTCCTATCATATTTAAAAGCTTGGAAATGACTTCTTTAAGGAAGACTTTGTGAAAAGCTGATAATTTGTAAATCCCCCCCCCCCGATCCGAAAAACAAGTAAGTCAAAGTAACATAGCCTTCTTTGTCCCTAAACACATAGTAAGTTTGAAAAAGGTTAAAAAAAAAAGAAGGGGCACCTGGGTGGCTCTGTCGATTAGGCATCTGACTCTTGATTTCAACTCAGGTTATGATCTCAGGGTCCTGAGATGGAGCCCCGAGAGAGGCGGGCTCTGTGCTCAGTGCGGAGTCTGCTGGAGAGTCTTCCTCTCCCTCTGCCCCTCCCCCACCAACTCTCTCTCTTAAGAAAAAAATTGAAATTGAGCTGCTGCTATTCCTTAGGACTAGATACCTGTGAGAGCACGAGAGAAATTTTCCTTTCTTCCCTTGGCCTTGGGTCAGATGGAAACTAAATAGATTCACTTCTACCACATTTCCATCCCATGGATTTACAGTTACGTTGCTGATGCCATAGTTAAAGAGTCCGGGCACATGAGTTATTATAGACTTATTTTTTAATGCTGACTCCGTCACTTTCCAGCTGTGTCATCTCAGGCAAGTGAATTAATGTATGAGCTTCAGTCTCATTATCCGTGAATGGAAAAAGAATAGTCACGCTCATAAGTTGTGTGATAGGTATGATGTGCACTAAATACTTGGCACAGAGCCAGGCACACAGTAAGCACTTAATAGTGGCTTGGGTGCAGTGGTGATGATGACCTGGAGGGCTTCATAAATACAGGCCTAAATGAACTCTTGAGTATTCTCATTATCTTTCGGATATGGTAGATGATTCGAAACCTAGCAAGAATTTTTTAAATCCCCACAACAATAGTAAGCATTAGAGTAGAGGGAAAAACAAAACAAAACAAAACACAAAAACAATACCCAGTGTATGTATAGCACAGCTGATGTTTCTTTCCCCTGCTGCTTCCAACAAGAATCCCCCCTATGGTTTCTTGACTGAAGAATTTGGATGTGACAATATTGCCAGTTTTATTCTATTTACTACTAAATAACTGTGTTTTCAGAGTACTTACAAATATTGATTTACATTTCTCCCAGCACCACCCCTAATTTATAGACTAGCTGCACGTTAGGCCACCTCTTACCCTTGTGTTTGCCAATATTAAAGTAATTTCTTTATTGCCAGTTCCATCCTGGTGGTTTCTATCTCGAATGTTCGCCAAACCTGATCACAGAACCGTAACTCCCCCAACACACACACAACCGACCTAGAGTGCCACTGACCCCAAAGGATTCAAGCTACTCTTCAGTTCTTTCCCAGAGTCTGCTCCGTCTGTTGAAAGGCGACCCCACTGGAAATTCACATCCAGTGGATGCCTTTCCCACAACCTTAGCCATTCTTTTTCTGTGTGGTTCCAACATTCCAAATTCTTGTTTATCCCTTTTAGGCAAGGACTTATTTTGGTAGTGTAATTCTGTCTCCTCTGGTCAGGACACGGAAGGCTCCTATTCTACTTCTGGAAGTGCATGATTCCTAACTGGGTGAGCTGGCAGCCACTCCGCCCTGGGTGTCTGCCTAAATACACAGCAGATTCTACCAGTTACCAGTCATCATGTATTCATAACTCACTGGCATCTAGTAAAATCCATTAACTCCTGTCCCTACCAATTTTCCTACTCTACCCCCTCACTTGCCTAAATATATGTAGAAATTGGAATTCGCATAGGGCCTTTTGAGAGGAAGGAGACAAGATAAACCAATTTAACCTTTATAGGATATGTAATTCTACTTAAGCATAAGGCATTAACTGTAACACCACTAAGAAATGGCTCTAAAGCTAATCCCCCTGTGACAGTAAAACGCTTTAAAATTTGAATCAATCCCAATGGGTTGTGACACTGATCTACCCTTAAAATGGGTGGAGGATTCCTATATATATTCCAGACTGGAGCTTCTGTCTTCCAGGAGATTGGGAGCTAGAGGAAGTAAGGGAGAGAGAAAGGGTCTGAGTCAGAGACCTGCATCC